TTTTTCTATATTTTTACTACTTATATGCTAAATGTGTTTACTTGAAACTTGTTTTCTGCACTCTTCTTTTAAAAATGTGATGCAAATATTTTTAAGTTAAATTCTTATAAAATTTACATACAATAAAATTGGCCTTTTTTTGGGTATACAGTCCTATAGGTTTTTTATGGTTTTTGTTTGCTTGGGTTTTTCTTGAGGTGGAGTCTTGCTCTGTTGCCCAGGCTGGAGTGCAGTGGCTTGATCCCAGCTCACTACAACCTATGCCTCCTGAGTTCAAGCGATTCTCCTGCCTCAGCCTCCCGAGTAGCTGGGATTGCAGAAGTGTGCCACCGCACCGGCTAATTTTTGTATTTTAATAGAGACAGGGTTTTGCCATGTTGGCCAGGCTGATCTCGAACTCCTGATCTCAGATGATTTACCTGCCTCGGACTCCCAAAGTGCTGGGATTACAGGCATGAGCCACATGTCCTATGAGTTTTAACGTTTGTATAAACTCATGTAACCACCACCACAATCAAGGTACAGAATGGTTCCATCATGCTCAAAAATTCCCTCATGCCACGTCTTGCCCAGTCGAATCCCTAGCAACCACTGTCATTTTCTCTGACCCTACAGTATTGCCTTTTCCAGATTGTCAAATAAGTGGTTTTGTTCACTGAGCATCATGTCTTTGAGATGCTGAGTGGTGGCGTGCATCAGTTGCTCAGCCCTTTTTATTGCTGTTGTAGTGTTCTATTGTGTGAATGTACCACCGTGTGTTTATCCATTTACCCTTTGAGGAACATTTAGGTTGTTTCCAGTTTTTGGTGGTTATGAAGAAAGTTGCCGTAAACATTTGTGTACATGTTTTTGTTTGAACATAAGTTATCATTTCTTTAGATAAATCCCTAGAAATGAGATTGCTAGGTCATATTTTAAATGTATGTTTAACTTTATAAAAAATTGCCAAACTGTTTGTCAGAATGGTAGTATTTTGCATGCCTCCTAGCAGTGTCTCAACTTTTAAAAACTTGAACGCTATTTTAGATGCTCTTGGGGGGGGGTTGGCGAATTGTGTTTCACAGTGCCTTGGGGCTTTGAGAAGATGCCCCATGACAAAGGGAGGACCTCTAGGTCCTCCACACCAGCTTCAAAGAGAATTGTCCCAGTTTTGTTTGTTGTATATATTGGAGTTGCATGTAAGGATACATTTGGGGAGAAAAGAACTTTATCTGCAAAGCGTTTAAAAACCATTGCAATAGGGAAGTACACCCACAGTGTGAGATGTGGACTACAGGTGATAGAGGGTGAGGCAAGGTGGCACTTGGGGACTCTGCACATGAGGACCACACTGAGGCAGTGATTCTCTCTTCAGCTCCATCTGTTTATGTGATTATGTCAAGGAAGTTTTCATTTAAATCTGCTGCATCATTATTCTCCACCACTTGTTAATATCTTCCTTTACAAAGAGGGAGCATGCTTTAGTCTCAGAGCCTTCAGCAAGCAACAATTCCTGTCTAGAATGAAATAAATATATGGTTTTCTTTATAATATATTTACTTTTATGATTATCTTCTCATTTATAAGTACCATTGGTTTTTCCATTTTTCTTTTGAAGTGAATTTATATTTTTTAAAAATGAGCCAATTTTCATTGTATTTTTTCTTTTTTTACTTTTATCTAGAAATTACTGTGAAAAATGAGTCAATTTAAAGAAAAATATTAAATACTATATTATATAGTTCATATGCAAATATGGCAAGAATTATGAAGATGTGCTAGAATAACTGAAGTTTAGGAAACTCTTGAACTAGAGGATCTGGTTATTTAAAGAAACCTTAGAGTGAATCCTTTTGTGAAGTGATAAAGCACATAACTATTTCTTAGTTTATCTATTTTATGAGTTTATCATTTATGTAATGGTAATTTCTTAAAAGAAGAGAGCCTTCATTGTTCTTTGTGTTTGTAATACTTATTTTTCAAGTCCCTTCTTTATTCACTGATTTGACAAATATTTTGTGGGCAATGGGGATACAGTGTTGACTAAACAGGCAACATCCCCTTTCTTTGTGAGACTTTCTTTCTTACCTCCTTGTTCCTCCCACTCTTAGAGGCGGTTCAGGGCCTATGGAAAACAAGGGCCCCTGGATAAAATGTAAGTGATATGAAAGGCAAGGAAGAGGTAAATGACTTTAAAAAATAAACATTTTAGTAGATTTACAGAGGGAAATAATTTTGTTTTGATCATGTTTTTGGAGCTAGCTGGATGTCTACTTTGTCTTTCGTTGGATGCATTTTTGCATTTTGGTAAGATGATATGTACCCACAGACATAACGATAAACTATGTGACTTTTTTTTTTTTTTTTTTTCTTTGAGACAGAGGTTCGCTCTTATTGCCCAGGCTGGAGTGAGATGGTGCGATCTTAGCTCACTGCAAACTCCGCCTCCTGGGTTCAAGCGATTCTCCTGCCTCAGCCTCCTGAGTAGCTGGGATTACAAATGCCTGCCACCGCACCCAGCTAATTTTTTATATTTTTAGTAGAGACGGGGTTTCGCCATGTTGGCCAGGCTCATCTTGAATTACTAACCTCAGGTGATCCACTCGCCTCGGCCTCCCAAAGTGCTGGGATTACAGGCGTGAGCCACTATGCCTGGCTGATAAACTACATGACTTTTTGAGGTTCCTTTCAACTTAAAGTACATGAAGTAGGGTGTCACAGACAAGGAGTAGTACTATTGTTAGAATACCTGCTAATGCTCAGACCTCTCTGAAATTAGACATCTCTCAGATTAGAGATCACAGATTGATAGCTGCCTAAGTTCTATTCAGCCCATTGGTGTTTCTCGTTTGACCCACAGGGTATTTTTTGTTTAATTTTAATGAGTTTACAAGATTTACAAAAATTGGTTTTCACATTACACACACACACACACACACACACACACCCCACACCAGATTTCTTGTTTATTTTGAAAATTCATGAATCTGGCATCAATGAGCCAGCTTTTCTGAGTGGCAGAGCTGGCTGGATCTGAATAGTGGCTGCCTTTTTAAGGCAGAACATGTGCTCTCTTTTAGTAACCTCTGCTTAACTCATTCATGGTTATGCGCCTGGCCTAGTGAGTATTTGAATTTGCAACCTCTGGATCTTGGGTTTCATGCCCTGGAATTACCTAGAGAAGCTGAACGTTCCTCCTTGTGCTGGAGGGCTGAAAATATTGTTACCACAGAAGCCGCTTGACTGTCCAACTGGGCACATCTTCCAGCACAGTAGATGGAATACTGGGCCTAGGAGGCAGGATCAGGGTCCTCTTCCTGGCTAGTGTCAGGTAGATTATCCAGGCTTCTTCACAATGGAGGTACTATTTTCTGACTTACCTGTTTGCATCCATTAACATTTTTGATAAGCAACAGAAACAGGTTCTGATGAAATTTTTTTTTTTTTTTTTGAGATGGAGCCTCACTCTGTCGCCCAGGCTATAGTACAGTGGTGTGATCTCAGCTCACTGCAAGCTCCACCTCCCGAGTTTCAAGCTATTCTCCTGCCTTAGCCTCCTGAGTAGCTGTTATTATATGTGCGTGCCACCACGCCTGGCAAATTTTTGTATTTTTAGTAGAGATGGGGTTTCGCCATGTTAGGAAGGCTGGTTTCGAACTCCTGACCTCAAGCAATCTGCCCACCTCAGCCTCCCAAAGTGCTGGGATTACAGGCATGAGCCACCGTGCCCAGCCCTGGTGAATTTAAACAAAATGGGACTTTATTGAAAGGATATTGGGTGACTGACACTATCAAAGGAAAAATGAACGATCTGGACTCAGAAAGTTCCAGAAACTAGAGATACTCTGAGGACCATGGGTGGAAGGAATTAAGGGAATTGATAAATTGCCTCAGCATTTTCCCCCATTTCTATATCATTCCTCTCAAGAGTCTAAAGTCCTGGAAAAGGATCAGGTTGGTCTGGCCCACATCCTTCAATAGGGGAGGATAGGACACCTTGGTTGACAGTCCCTCTAAGACTTTATACCATGAAAGAAAAGACTTTGTAAGAGGAGATTTAGGTGATGTTACCAGACAAAGGGGATGAGGTATGGATTTAGGCAATAGAAACAACAAATTTCACTACTCCTCAAGGTTGTCATGATGATATTAAATATGCACTATCAAATGCTATGAAAGAGTAAGGAAGTGGTGTTTCAAGTTACAGGAGAACCAGGTTATGGGTGTGCTCTTTAAGTAAACAAACATATTGGCATCTGTTAGATAAGGAATATATTGAATGACTTAGAACACAGACAGTTTCATTGACATTGTAGTGACAATTTCATTCCTTTTAGCAATTGCTTTGGTTATAAAATCTCCAAAAAAGCCACACTAACTTTAAATTTAAAAACGATATCTATAAAATCTAAAGGTGTTCTTTGAGATATTCATTCAAAGAAATGGTCTTTCTGATTTTTGTGTTCCCTTTTTTTTTTGCAAGATCTTGATTTGCAACAAGCAAGGAAAATGAGTGAATCTTCTCCCTTCTTTCCCCGCCAAACATTGCTGGCATGGGTAGAAATTTAAAGTAATTATTCAAATAAGAGAGGCAGAGAAAGCCTCAGCTGGGTGGCAGGAAACAGAGAGTGAAAGTCAGAGGCTGCTCTTTTTTAAAAAGGCAAAACAAACAACTCACAGTGAAGTGTACGTGAAAATCATTTCTAATAATAGCTCATGGTAGGCAATTCCCAGGGAAAAAAAAAATCATTGGTGTGCTGAGAAAATTAGAGTAAGAATGTGCAGTATCTTGATGTGTTACTTAAGGCAATGGAGCTTTAGAGTTTACCTTATGTGCCATGTACATTGATTAAATACAAAATATATGCTGGCCATTTTTGGCCATCATTTACTGTATTGATTTGTTAGCAGGGGAACTGTAATAAAAAAGCCATTGATTTACTGTCCTTATTTGCTTATGGGCTTTTTTTTTTATTATTAATTTTTCACTTTTTCTTTCTGTTTTGGATCATTTCTTGTAGACAAATGCTGTGCTTCATGAAGTTAAAAGAGAGGGGCTCCCCGTGGAACAAAGGAATGAAATCTTGACTGCCATCCTTGCCTCGCTCACTGCACGCCAGAACCTGAGGAGAGAATGGCATGCCAGGTTAGTTCTGTTATGAAATGGGATTTGTTGTTCTTGACAAACAAGAACTATATTTGGCCAAGCCCTCCCTTAGGGCTGGCCTCGTCCCTTTCCTTTGAGGGGCCATGAAAAATAAGCACATTTAAGATGCTTTCAGCTAAAGTTAGCTTTCCTACCCACGGCACCTACATTAATTGTAATGATCCATTGACATCATCAGTATATTTACACAATTTATTCCTGAATATAATATTTAGCATAAATGTTTGCATTTTGAGCATAATGTAATATAAGCACCTGATACTGAAGAACCCTCTTTAATCAACAGTCTAAAAGACTAACATTGCTATTTCATTAGAGCAGATGTCTGGGAAATCCATATAGTGCTCCTATATCACTCTGTGCAAGGCAGATTACTTGAAAGTATAGTCATGCATCCCTTAATGATGGGGATAGGTTCTGAGAAATGTGTTCTTAGGTGATTTCGCCTTTGTATGAACATCATAGAGTGCACTTACGCAAACCTTGATGATATAGCCGACTATACACCTAGGCTATATGGTATAGTCTGTTGCTCCAGGGCTGCAAACCTGTACAACATGTTGCTGTACTGAATATTATAAGCAGTTGTAACACAATGGTAAGTGTTAGTGTATCTAAGCATAGCTAAATATTGAAAAGGTACTACAAAAATATGCTGTTATAATCTTATGGAACGGAACCACTGACATATGTAAAGTTCGCCGTTGACCAAAACCTCAAAATGTTGTTATGTGGCAATGACTGTAGCCTATTTATCAACCCGATTTTTAGGGTTAATCAACTAGGAATGACTCTTGTTTCAACCTAGTCTCTTTCCATGGAGTTACCTGTGCTTAGAAACTGTGTTACTGGTGAAGACTTTCTTTAAATCATCAGTTTTTACAGAACTGATGCTTGCATAGTAAATATCATGTTATCCTGTTCTTTTTTGAAAACCAGTTGATATGTGGGAGGCTAGAACTAGTTCTCCCAAATGTTAAGATTATCTTTCAGATCTGTAGTTTGTAAAAATTATTGAATTGTCATCCGTCTCTAAGCCAGAGGGAGAGGAATCAGGAAAGGTATGGCATATTTTGTCTCAGAGTCTTATTTGGTGCTTAAAAATTCTATGTGCCTGGAAGTCAAGAACATTTATTGATAGACATAATATTCTCCAAATGACTTCATGCAACAGAATTTATAATAATTGATAGCTTTACTAGTAATAATTGTCATAAAATAGGTTTGTCTGAACAAGGCTGAAGATGGGCATTTTCCAAGAAAGGAGACAATATAAGTATTTATTCTCATTGGATATCAGAAAGCTGCTTTTTCAAATATGTACTATTTTTAAATTCAGACTTGTATTTAAATAGTAATTTTAAAATTCCCAATGATACTCACCCTCCCCTTCCCCCATCTTTTTGGTGGTGTGGTCAGCGTAAATGGCAGACAGTTACTTTTTATTCTTTCTAAAAAAAAATGTTTATAAAAATAGACACAGGGTCTTGTCATGTTGCCCAGGCTGGTCTTAAACTCCTTGCCTCAAGCGATCCTCTTGCCTTGGCCTCCCAAAATGCTGAGATTACAGGTGCAAGCCACCACACCTGGCCAGTGGCAGACGGTTTCAACTACAGTAATGACTAAATGATTTCCAATTTACCTTTCAATAATTAATTCTAAAATTTTCTTTGTATTATAAGTTAAGCATGTATATTCATTAAAGTATACATATTAAGGAATGGAATATCAGTTTGTGGACATCTAAGGGGTTTCTTTGTCTCTGTTTGATGTTTTATGTCATCCTCATGATGATTCCAATTAAATAGAGAGGGAAGAAGAAAGAATTTCCCTGTAATCTTTCCTCCGGTTCCCTTCCATCCAAAGACCGTGTGGTCCAGTGAGAGCGCAAATGGATGTTTTTTGTTGAGTGCATTTGGTTTGTTAACAATAATTTTTTAATACACTAAATCATTAGACAACATGGTCAAAGTGGCCTGTTTAAAAGGAATCTGCTTTCAGCATTTCTGGCCCTTACTGCTAACAATTTAATCAGGAGCTGGAGCCAGTGTTGAAGTTGATGTAGTCTAGCAACTGAAACAAAAACTCTCAAGTCCTTTGTGTTAAGGGAGGAGGAAAGAAAGAGCTTAACAGCTGACACTGTGCAGACCCCCTTAAAACTAAACACCTGAAAGAAAATTTCAAGAGGCTAGTGTCTTGAGATCTCAGAAGGAGAAGTGTCCTCAGAGTATTAAATAACCATAATCCTTCTCCCCACCGCTTCTCCACCCTCATTTGATGTTTCCCATCTTAGTGACCTATCTACAGACTCATCCATGCGATCCGTATAAACAGACGGTTACCATACACCTTTCTTTTCCTCATCAAAGTGTCATCTGGCAGTCTGGAATTGGGCATTGCCTCGAGTAGCCGTCAAACGGGTGGTGGTGAAAGTTATAAAACATCCACTGCGGTGCTTACTGAGCAGCCTGTGTTTTAGAGATTGGCCTATTGTGTACTTCGGAATTACACAAGGAAAAATGTGCTTTGACAGAAAATAATTAGCACTCACCAAAGGCCAAGCAATAGGTTACAGTATTTTACTTTCATCAAAGCTATCAGGGGATCAGTTAGATTAGATAATAGAAATTTTTTTCCTCTGAAAGTTAAATACAGATGACTCTAATTACCTTATATTGCACATTAGAGAGTGCATTATGAGTTGTACAACTTCAAGAAATTTAGGTCAGCGGAGCCGCTGCAGCTGGCAATAACTTTCATATAAGTCTTTTGTAATAAAGGTTTTTACCTCTCTTTAGCAGGTTCATTTGCGATCATATTAGGGAGAATTTTTAAAGTAAAACTTGTAACCTAGTTATAAAATATTTGTCTCTCTCTCAGGTCGGGCGCCAAGCCATTGTTTGGGACTCACTGAAGTCTCTTAAACTGAAGCATATGTTCCTTGTAATTTAGCTTCTTGAGGAAAGTGTCAATTTTGCATGACTTGGGGTAACCGAGTTTGTCACAGTGTCACACAACCCAGCGACTCTAGAGGCACATCTGAGTGCTGCGGGTTTCCTTCTCCAAGCTTCGTAATCCCATAAACAACCCTCTCCAAATAGGCTTATTAGGGCTGTCTATTCACTTCCCTAGAGTTGAATGATCCAAAGGACATTGGGAGAAGCTGTGTGAATGCAGGGTAAGTGTTAACAGAAGTGGGACAGAATTTCTGAAGATTCGCCTTTGTTTATCCAGTCCCCTCTGCCTGATGGACAGCTTGTTATAGCTTTTAAAGAACTGGGCGAGCCCTCTGATCTGACCCCTTCTTGACCTGCGTAGCCCAAAGGTCAGTCTGCAGCTAATAAACTCTGAGGTTCTTAGGGTCTACTGTAGGAAAAGGCAGAAAAAGAGCAGCTGCAAGGACCGGGTGTCCCAGGATAGGCTACTTTAGGGTCACTCTCTGATAATGAAAATGATTACCAAATTATATGGAAGTTTAACCGCAATCGTGAGTGAGAGGAGGGTGGGGCCCGGCGTATTAGGTTTGATAAATGAACTGTGAAGAGGCCCATCTGGCTCTCAACATCTTTTCTCCCCCTCTTTCCTACCAAGGGGAAACATTTTAAAATAACAGCAGTACATATAGACTCAATGACCCATACAAGGAGCTGGAATGGATTAAGATTTAATGGTGACAGTGGAAGAAATTATCATTTGAAAAGTGCTCCAAAGAAAAGGTGCAGTTCAATGTCCACACCCGAGTTGTCTTTCTAAATAAAATATAATAAAAATCACTGCCTTGTTTATTTTCTACAAAGCCCTGGCGTCTTTCCTAGATGGCTGAAAATTTTGAGGGTGTTGTTTATTATGGAATAATTATTTATAGTTTAGCTTCAGAAACGGAATGGGCTTCCTTTGCCTTGAAGAAGTCAGAATGAGAATCAAAGATTTTGTTCTGCCTGCTTGCTTCATTTCAGTAATGTAGGTAAATCAAGTGTTAGAGAAAATGCTTTTCCAAAAAATGTGTGTCCATGTCAGCATCTGACTACTGACTATTGTGCACTCTTTAGTACGAAATATATGTGTGACTCTTGAACAGAGTCTTATTCCTACTACAACCTGGCAGTTTTTCTGTAAATATAAGAAGAAAGCACATAATGTTAACTGAGTAGTTATGTTTGGTTCTTTCTTTATTCTTTTTTTCAAAGAAACATCATAGCGATGCTAATTATTGCCAACAATGGATGAGGTCACTATACACTATTCGTCTATTTATTTACCACTAATTGATAAGATTAGTCTATTTAAAGCTCTCCCCCAGTTTCTCATGAACATAGAGTCCTGATTTCAGACCAGTGATGATGGAGGCCATGCAGCTCTGTCCTTTTCTGCAGAGATGAGTGGCACATGCCATGAGTCCGCTTTCTGAAACGAGAATGATTTCATTCAGTAAGCATCTTTTCGTATATTTTGTATACCTACTGCATGAGATGCTGTGCATAATAGAGAGTGAGCTAAGTGGCCAATTTCAGGGTTTATCTGGGGATGAGAATGTAGAAGTTTCCTAGAAAGAGGCTGTGAGAGGCAGTGGCAAGGAAAGCAGTGGAACCATCATTACCACAACAGAGTGGCAAGTTCTGTGACCCACTCGGGAACGTATTTAATGGTAGATGTCTTGGAAGACTAGAATTGTTGTGTTATTGAAAACCCTTTATATTGAACTATATTGTCTTGTAACACAAGCCTCACCCAGACAATAATTATGTTAAAAAATCAAAACAGAAAGCTTGTAAACATTATCCAAAGTTAGCATATTTTTCATCAAGGTTTTGACTTGGCTGTCTTATGTCTGTGGGGATTTTGAGTGAGCAGAAAGCCAGGTAGAGGATAATTCAGGGAGGTGGCAAATACTTTGAGAATCAATTATGCTTTTTAACTTTAAAACCATGGCCCTAAATTTTTGCTAAGTGAGGTATAAATACAAAAAAAAAAAAAAAAAA